ATGACAGTGCAAATAAGTCATAGTTGAATACTCATGAATAAAAAAGACTTTCACTTGAGAGAGAGTGTGAACATGTGAAAGATAGTCATACTTAAAGAGAAATGTTGAAATTCAATTATAAAATGAGTCTCACATTAATTAAAATTAGACATGTTGAATAGTATACAAAAAAAAATGATCTATATACCTAATGTCTTAATATTTTAAATAATAATATAATATTAAATTTACTTATTTAATTTACTCATTACTCACTGTACGCATATTTTTCAATGTTTAAATTCCCCTAACCTATATTTATATCAAATTAAGAAGTTAAAGCTTTCGACTCTCGTACCCTTGGCACCCCTTTCATTTGTTAGCTAGCACGATTAGATCCATAAAAAACATAATCAAATTGTCATACTCACTTATTTCTAACACACTAATAATTCATTAAAATTTTAGAATTATTTACTTGTAACGTTTAATTTTATACTGGCTCTCAATATTTTGTTTTTAATTTTCTATTTCATACACTTTTATACTGATTAGTTTGAAATTTACTTATAAATTATAACATAATATTGTGAATTTTAAAAAAGGCGAGAACAAAAAATTCCCTATACTTCAATTAGAACAAAAAATTGAAATTTAGTAGATTGAAAATTTCGTGGCTAGTGCTATTGTCGCTTATCTTTCAATTTCCTATGTTTTTATCATTCTTCTTTCTTGAATTTTATGTATAAATCGAGGTTTCTGATATCCATTGATAGTTTTTCGATATAATTTTTTTTCTCAAATTTTATTCTCGATGAACAATTAAAATATAAATAGTTAAAGGAATTAGGTATTGTTTTCAGCCGAAAACGTGTTCAACCAGCAGCCATACGTGTTGAAGAAGAAAAAAGACCCTCTTTATTTTTTTTAGAAAATAAATGTTACTTTTAAAAAATGTGTATTATCTTTATTTTATAGATTTCATAAAAAACTTAAAATAAAAGTGAGGCTGCACTGTTTTATTTATCTTTTTTTTTAATCATTTCTCATTTATCATTTATTATTATTATTAAAAGTTATTAGTATAATTAGTTTGTCATCTGCATTTGTGAATTAAAAACTTCAAATTAATGTGAACTTGAATATGAAATGGCACTTAAAAACGTAGTTTTACTTGTAAAATGAGGAAATGGAATAAAAGAGAGTTATTAAAAATAAGAATCTCACTCACATGGTCACTTATTTTTTACCAAGCAAATGAATGGTAAGTAAGGAAGGTGAAGGCAGGGAAACCAATAGTGGCACACCACGTGCTAATATGCTGATGTGACGTTCGAAATGATGCGTGGGTCACGGCAGAAGAAAAACACATGAGCTGGCTACGCAACTTATGTATTATTAATTCACTAATTTATTTTTAAAATCAATATTACCTTTCGGTCCAAATTCAACTACATTAGATGAAATATCAACATTAAATATTTTTAAAATTAAATAATAATGTAAATAAAAAATAGTTTAGGGTAAAATTATGTGGTTATTTCTCCTCGTTGACAGAAGCGGTGGCAAATACGGCGTGATTGTAGTTTCATCGTATTAAGACGTGGCAGATTGTGAAGTGTTGGATTAAGAAGAGTGAGATGATGTACTGGGGAAGTAGTGGGTCCCACGGCTTCATTTTCGAAAGAGGACACGTGGGAATGAGTTGGAATCAAAGGTAGAAATTAGCTATTGGAGACTCAATGGACACTTGCGTCAGACATGACACATGCTGGAAAAATAATTAAATATTTAATAGAATAAATTTATAAAAATCTCTCTCTCTCTCTCTCTCTCTCTCTCTCTCTCTCTCTCTCTCATTTTAGAGATTATTACGAAATTGTTTATATATTCACAAGGGCAATTGTGTAATGAAATAAGTTAAATGTGAAAAAATTAAGTGGAGCTAATTTGAAAAAAAGATGAATATCTGTTTATAAGTTTTTATATTTTAGAATTATTAAAAGTTGGCAAAATAGTATTTAAATAATAGCTTCAATATAATTTTTAATATTCTGAAACAACGAAATATTCATAAAAAATGCATTATATTATAAAATAATAAATATAAAATAATATTCTATTAGATTATAAATGAAATGTAAAACAATAATAAAAATGTTTTACTAGTAATAATACAAAACAACTATTTGTTGTTATCACGTTTTTATTTGACAATTTTTTTACTCTTCTAAGCTTTTATAATACTAAGCACGTTTCTTATGGATTAAAAAAAAGTATTCTTTAAAAACAATCTTTTACTTTATATATTATTATATTATTTTATTTTTATTTATATTATTGATATGAAATATTTATTAATTTTATTTGTAACTAATTTTTGTCAAAATTTAGTTACTAATTTTTAGTGGACCTCACCTCTCAAATTTTTTTTCATACATAAAATTCAAACATGATAACTTATTTAAGGAAGTCGATTTTAATACTATTTAGATCAAGAGCTTATTTGTGCTATATTATAAAATTTTTGAATGCCAAAAACCAGCGATAAATGTTTAAGAAATTAAATACATTGTTTATTTTTTTTTGAAAAATATGATATATTATTTTTTTTAAAATATATATCTGCTGAGAAGATATATCAAGAAACTTTAGTAGTCATGAGAATGCTTATCTAGTCCTAATGATTTAAGTTTAATTTAGATGGTTTTGGATTTCAAAATTAGACTCGATTTAACTTTTATGATGAATTTATAATAATATGTTATGTTTGAAATCTTTCCGACCTTGGTTAATCTACCGCATTATCTATACAGAAATTTTGAACAATTGTGTATGCCATATTGTTATTCATTTTAAAAATATGTTGTAAAAATATATTGATTTATCTTTTATACTTCTTTTATTTTAAAATTTAACAATAATATTGATATATCATGCTAAAATTTTGTGTTGATCCAATTTATTCCCATACTTTAGGTTACATTCAAGATTATTCTCTCTATGTACATACATATATTTAGAGAGAGAGAGAAATATATAAAAAAAATATAAATATACAAAATAAAACATCTTTTACATAAAGTCACAAACATTTAGAACACGGGGGATGGATGGAGTTATTATTATTTTTAATTTGGTTTATTAAGTTAAAAAAAGTTTATTTTGGTCTCTTAAAATATCTTTGTTAGATCAACTCATTTTTTTTGTCAATTTATTTATCTAATTTGCTTAATTTAGTGACATATAGTAACTTATTTTAAAGATGTCATATTTGTTAAAATTAACACCATCAATACAAAACTTTTGACAAAGGAACTAATTTGGCTAATAAATACAATTCAAAAAATCAAAATGAAACTTTTAAAATTTTAGTGTCTAAACTAAAACCTAAAATAAATATAAGAAAGCAAAAAATTATTTTAATCAATTGTTTCAACAAAGTTTCTTTATATTTTCCTTTTTCGTGCATAAAGTTTTGAACGTAACATTTTGATTGAAGTTAAGCTACTTTCTTTGGAAAGTAGAAAGGATGAAAAATAATCAATCTGATTATCTTTTATGATTGGTTATTATGTAAAACAGAGAGAAAATAATTATTTGATAATTTTACATAAAAAATTGATCCAGCATAATTAAATGAAAATATGTGAGATTTGGTTTAGAAATTAGAGAATGTATTTTAAAACTAAATTGTTTAAGCAAGTAAGATTCATTCACTTTATATTGCAATACATTAAAGTCTAATACATTAGAGAATAGAGTGCTGTATAATTGTTACTTTTTTTTTCTGCTGTCTCATTAGCCATATGGATCATGGAGCTTTCAGTTTCACTAGTCAGCATCTCACCACCATTGTCCATTGCGATGTCAAAGATTAGTTAAATACCCAATGAATGGCAGTTTTTGGGCATTAGCATAAAAAGACACCGTTGCCACCTCCCAATCCTTAACTTTCCTCAGCACCCCGAAAACGAATTTAAAAAAAAATTATTGGGCTTAATCATGGGTTAGAGGTAAAGCCTTGAAAAGGGATTAAAAAAAAAGAAGAAGAAGAAAGAAAGCAAAAAGTAAGAAAAATATCAGAAACAGTTATCCCTGGTTACAAGGCGTGCGTGAGGAAGATGTGATTTGTAAATTGTAAGTGGCTAGGTTACTCGTGGATTCCAAATAACCTATTCAATTGAGTTTAATTTGATTTGAATTATTAATTAATTAATCTGAATGTGAAAGGGCACATGAGGATGAGGTGTGGCTTAGCTAGGGTGGACCCCTAAGAGAAGACGCGTAGATGGATTCCCTGAGGAGCACGTGTACGGCTGTGGTGACGTTGGAATAAACAAATGGCCAGCTCAACAACCACCACACCCCACGTCGTATATACGCCGTAGCTATACGCCCACCTCGACATACGACACGTGTGTGGTGACGTGGACTTCGCCTTCGCGCTCCTTCCTTCCCTTCTTGTTCACCACCACCATTACCATACCCCATCCTCGCGTCGCGTCAACACCTCTCTCCCTCGTTTTTTAGAGAGATAAAAATACACAATTCAGTCTTAATTGCTTCTCCAAACCTTAACCCTTTCTTTTTTCACCTCCCACCACTGGGTTTTCTCTTTTTTTGTTTTTTTTGCAATTGGGTATCTGACTATCTGGTTAGGTACGTCGAAAATTTTGATTTTGAATGCTTTTCTTATCTGGGTTTTGTTTGGGGTATGAGAAAGTTGAATGTATGTGTGAAAGTTTGTAGTTTCATGATTTGAGAGTAAGTGTGAGTCTGAAAGGAGAACATATTATATGGTTGAATTTATATTTTTGTTCTTTGAAAACACCAAAAGAACTAAAGGGTACCGTGAATTTTCCGTTCCTTTGTTTTATTTATGAATTGTTAGCTAATTAAACTAGAGGGTTAGAATTGGGGTTTGTCTGGATCTCATTTTGCAACTGTGAGAGTTTTGAATTTGGTTGCTTGCTTTGTGTTAATTTGTTTCTTTTGAACTCATGCTAATTTTGTGAAATTCGTTTTGCTCATAGCTGAAGAGGGTCTGGTTTGGTCTGGATCGGGGCTGAAATCTGTAAAATATTGTGTGTGGAGGTTGAGGTGGCTAATTCAGGAGTTTCATTCGTGTTCTCACTTTGCTTCCTTGATTCGTGTGAAAGTGAAAAATGTTTTGTTTGGAAGGGTATTTTTGTCATTTAGCTACAGGATTGTATTGTTGGGACGGATTAGAGTATGCCATTTGCGTGTGTCCTTACCTTTCTTTCCGCCTCGCGGAGTGCTCAAAAGACAGAATTGACCCTCTACCATTCTCTCTGAGTCTGACTCTTGTGTCTACATTGTCATTCTGTCTATTATGTCCTTTGGATTGAATTATCTATAGCTTACCATTAACACTGCTGCCTTTTATGTCTTTCCTGAAAGTTGTTTGTGAAATCTCACTTTCTCTAAAACTAGGAACCAGAAAAGCTGAACCGTGTGTTGTGATGGTCCAGTAGTATCTTTAGGTTCCCGTTTACTCTTTAAGCATTTACTCTGTTTCTAATTAACTATGACATCATGTAATTCTTCTCCACTGTTATAGATCAGTCGGTTATTCTGACCTGTGGTTTTGAAACTTGGTTCACTTTGCCAACTCTATGGTGAATTAGTAGTTATATCTGGTTTGTCATGTTTGGTGGGTGTTAGATCGTTCACCCTGAAACTCGTTGAATCTCACGTAAAGGTTATGCTGGAGAAGGGAAATTAACCCATACAATTTACCATCTAGGAAATTAGAATTTTTGTACGATGCTATCATATGCTAGCTTAGAAGGTAAAATAATAATTATAAAAAAAGTAATATTGCAATATTTGTTTGTGGTTCAGTCTGTCTGTTGATGTGTGTTTTTTATACACAGTAAACGAGATTTTCAGCTGCTGTTTGTTATAGAGTTTCTAAAACATCTCTTACTCCTTTGATGTAATAATGATGTTTTTTATTCTGCACCTTTGTTTAATTCCCCCTTTTCTTAAATCAAATTATCAAGTATTTAATTTGAAATTTCTGGACTTGCCCGTTTCCCTTAGCTAGGGTGTTACATGGATAACTTATCTACAACAGTAAAATGTTTATAAATAGTAAAGATAATGTTTTGCCGGTATCATGTGTACTGTAGATTTTAAATGACATAAATCCTGGTATTTGAGTTTTGTCTTGTCCCTTTTAACATTTTCTTGCTGCTGACAATGACATGACTCCTGTTAATGCAGTTGAGACATTTTTCCAGAAGTAGCAAAGCTCCTTCCACAATATTTGACTCGGTGCTTTCTGTTTGGAGCTTACAATGGGAAACAATGAGGAAGAAAAATCTACCAAGACTGAAAAGCCTTCTTCACCTGTAGTGGTGAGCCCATAAGAGTGTATCTGGGTGTTGACACATTTGTTTCAAGCTTGAATTTTAACGCCTTTGTACTTGTGAACAGGATCAGGCCAATCAGACCAATATTCATGTCTATCCTGATTGGGCAGCCATGCAGGTTACCTACCTACCTTTTGCCTTGAATTACTTAGTCTGTTAATTACTGAATCATTCTTTCTAGTTTCTTGTTAGCTAACTTAATGTAAACTAATGCTCTCATATTATTTTTTTGAGACGTGCTACTCTCACTTAATCAGTTACTGTGTGACCCCAATGTCTGGGGCAGAATCCTGATGTTAATAATAATCAACTTTATTGGACGACTAGCTACTTCACTCTCTTGAAGATTTTTTAACAACAATTTTATCTTACTATTGACAAACTGGAGAACCTTATCCTCATAGTCTTTCCCTGCATCAAAGTCAAGTGATATGCAGGTGCTTGTTCCGGGGAAGTCATCAGCTATTTTTTTTTTATAAAAAAAATCTATTCATGTATATCCATTTACTCGTTTCTTGACAAAACAATGAACTGATGAAACCTGTTTATATTCTCTCTTGTGAATTATCAATTGTTCTATCTGAATATAATTATTAGAGTGCCATTCCTGTGGTGCTTTGTATTACCTATTCTATGTTTTGTGAGTTGCTATCAAATCAATATATACCCCTACTCAACATCAGACTGAAATTATGCACTGAATTGCTACTGGTTCTGGCAATCAGTTGGGGTAATGTCTAGGATCAGATATGCTTTGGTCCTGGATTGCTTTCTCTTATAAATGTTTTTTGATTGGATGCTATGAAACTATTAATTTTATTCCTTTCAAATTGGTTCACCCCGCAAGTTTTCAAGCATATTTGCCCTCTAGTGTTGTCAGTAGTGACTGTATTATGATTTAGAATGTCTGCTACATCTTCAGGCATATTATGGACCAAGAATGACCATGCCACCATACTACAACTCGGCTGTGGCTTCTGGTCATGCACCTCACCCGTACATGTGGGGGCCACCTCAGGTAGCAGTACTCCAATGCAATCATTTGTTATGTTCTATAGTTGCCATTCTTTGTTTTTGTTTTTAGCATGTTATGTATGTATCCTAGATGACAAGGATGAGTAACTTGCTAACTTATTATTTATTCCAGCCTATGATGCCACCTTATGGGCCTCATTATGCTGCAATTTATCCACATGGAGGTGTTTATCCTCACCCTGCAGTTCCTATTGTAAGCCCTGCACTCTTGCAATTTGCTTTGTCTTTTATGTTTCTTTTTAATTATTATTATTATTATTATTTATTTATTTTGTTATTGGAACTAGTGTTCTTCTCTGGTCTATGAATCGGTTTATTTGTGTTGTACTTAAAATGGATCAATAAGGATCACAGACGTTAAGAATATATAGTGAGATGTGATTCTGCTGTTTCTGTTGGCCCTCTCGATAATTTCAGTGTTATTTATACCTAGTTGCATATCAGCTTTAATTAACCTCTCCATGATTTGATAACCTTAATGTAATAAAATCCTGATTAAGTTATAGCCTATAAAATGGGCAAATAATAACAGAGGATTTTCATCATTTGGTAATAGTATGCTTTTTTTTGGTTGGAATTTTCATGCATGTTCTTATGAGTTATATTTATAAAATATAGGGGCCACATCCACATAGTCAAGGAGTTCCGTCTTCACCTGCTGTAAGTTTTATTTTCCTATGAGACCAGTTCATACTCAAGCCCTTGAATGCTATCAATTTATGATTGGCTTGAATTGGTGTAACAATGCAGGCTGGGACTCCTTTAAGCATTGAGACAGCACCTAAATCATCTGGAAATACTGATCAGGGTTTAATGAAGAAATTGAAAGAGTTTGATGGACTTGCAATGTCAATAGGCAATGGCCATGCTGAAAGTGCAGAGCATGGAGGTGAAAACAGGCTGTCACAGAGGTTTGTTGATCTGTTCTCTTACCTATGAATATTTTTAGGCTAAATTATACTTTTGATCTTTTATCTTTTATTTTTTTTTATTATATTTAATTTGGTCCTTTATTTTAAAATGTTCATTGTGATCCTTTATTTTTTTAATATTGGATTAATTTGGTCCTTTTAAAGCAATGATTATTTTCAATTTTGTGGCACAATTTTGAATTAATATTTGATTAATTCAAGATATAGAACTTGTAACATTTGATTTACATATATGTAAATCATAAAATGTAATTGCTTTCCGAATCCTGAAAAGCTATAAATATATTGAAAATTTAGTGAAAATTATATCCCATAAATAACTAGTAAATAATATGAAATTATATTTTTTTAAATATTGATTTTCATCATGTATTTAACACTTTTGATTTGAACTTTAATTACATTCAATAGTTTTTACACAATTGTATCTAATGAGACGAGTTTCAACTCTTAAATTAGACAAAAAGGTTCAAAGAATCAGAAGACTAGATTGACCTAAGTTTAAGAGATAGAGAATCAAAATGAACATTTTAAAAGATAAAGGACCAAAATGAATCTAAAAAATGAAATAAAGGACCAAAATTATAATTTAGCCATATTTTTAATGACATGCCGAGTTTCTAGAAATCTCCCTTTCTTATGTTGGGGGTGGTGGAGAGGGGAAATCTGTCATTTGATGCTCTTTAGTGAGTTAAACCCACTTCCTGTGTGACTAAAATAGTGGTCCATTAGTTGGTTATTGTAATGGAGTCTTGTGGATGACTGAATAATTTATGAATGATGTGAACAGTGTGGATACCGAGGGTGGCTCCAGTGATGGAAGTGATGGCAACACTTCAGGGGTGAGATCTTGCTTGCAATTAGCATTTTTTTTTCCTGCATTTTGTTGACCATTTGAAATTGTTCACCTATAGTATATTTTTTTCTTTAAAATGGTTTGACAAAATTGAAACATTAAAATATGATATTTGCCCATCTTATGCTCAGGCTAATCAAACAAGAAGGAAAAGAAGCCGTGAGGGAACACCAACCACTGGTATGACTCTGTTCTTCACCAAGTGTCACATCTTGATGAATAATAGAGTTGTCCTGGGATCACTATTATTCTTCTGTTATCGTCACACGGTGTCCAATCCGTTTATTGAGTGGGGTCTTGATAAATTAAACGCTGTTATAAAATATTTGCTCAGTAAGGTGAAATTGCCAAAGCTTTAACTTTGCCATTAGTTTGATAAATGTAGTTGCCTCTAAGATGGGCTTTATTGCAATTGCAGACATGATACAGTATAGGTATTGGTGTCCCATGGTTTCAATTACTAATAAAATGCCTTACCAGCCAATGTGCGTTATTTTATCTTCAAGCATCTGAAGCTTAGAGTAGAGTATCAACATTTGTATTGATGATTGTTCTTTTCTGCATTGTGCAAGCAGATGGAGAAGGGAAAACTGAGATACAAGGCAGTCCCGTTTCCAAAGAGAAGACGGCAGTTGTACCTGTAACTGTTGCAGGAAATATAGTTGGACCTATAGTTTCTTCAGGTATGACCACTGCCCTGGAGCTGAGAAACCCTTCCAGTGTTCATTCTAAATCAAATGCCACAAGTGCCCCACAACCTTGTTCCGTATTGCCTGCAGAAGCTTGGTTACAGGTATGGTCTGCATATAATTCATTATAGCAGTTCAGATATGTAGTACATCGGGTACATGTGTAAAACATGTAATAACAATGATGTATCCTTATTATTTGCTGACTCTAAAGTATTGTGGGTATGTTTGGATTCCTTAGAATGAGCGGGAGCTGAAACGTGAGAGGCGGAAACAATCAAATCGAGAATCTGCTAGAAGGTCCAGACTAAGGAAGCAGGTATAAATGTTGTGGGTTTCTTCAAAACATAGTAGATCTTCTATCACTACTTTGGTTGTCAATCTAGAAATCATAAATTAAGCAGTTTCTTCTTTATCACGCACTTTTACATTTGTTGCACCTTGCACGTGACTCCTTGCATGCAAAACCGCAAGAAACACTGAAGTAAAGATTATATTCTATAGGCTTGTGACTAATGCTCACATTCCCGCTGTTTAGGCTG